ATATATATGTAAGTTCTGGTGGCATAGTGGATAAGGCAGAAGGTCAGCGTTCAAACTTACCAGCCACTCCACGGAAGGAAGGTGGAATGATCTACTTCCTTAAAGATTTACAGCTTCAGAAACCCAAAGAGGACACTATGAGTTAGAATCAATTCAATGGCAGTGAGTTTGGATTGATGTAAATATAAATTCCATAGGGTTTTCAAGGCTGAGAACTTTTCAAAGCTAATCAGTAGGTCTGTCTTCTGAGGCTCCTGTGCGTAGGTTTGGATGGCTAATTACCTTTAAGATACTGGTCACTAGCCTAAGGAGATGCCAAGCTCCTAGATTGCATTCTGTTCACTCCTTTGGACACTCAGTTTTCTTCTGCTCTTTAGAAAGACTCATTGGAGCTGAAGTCTAGATGGCTGATGGCAGCTTTAAATGTTATTTCTTCCAGAGAGATTTCTATTTTAATAGGAATTAGAATGGTAAATATTTTGTATCCTATAATACTCCACTTTGTCTTATGAATTTATATACTAGAAACTCAGTAAAAACTTGTTGACCTCTATAAGAGAAATGTGTCATCTTTAAGCAGATGATATGGTAGGTTTTAAGAAGAGGGCTTTCCTAGAATCTTTATTTGTTGGTGGTAATATATACAACCAGACCTACATCCATTCACAGTTCTACCTGTACAGCATTCGTAGAGTTGTTTATGATGCCATGTAGATAACCAGCTACTCTGGTGTGTTGTAAAGAACGAGCAACAATATATTCTCAGATACTATCAGAGTTACCAAGAGTAGGCCCATGCAAAACCATCAGCCATCCAACAATAATTTGCTTTTGGCTTTGGGATATCTTGGTTTATATATACTTTGAAAACCAATGTGTAAGATTCTATAATTCTCAATACAAAAAAAATCATAATAAAGAATGTCATGTTGTGAAGTGCAAACTTAAGGAGAGCTAGAAAGTCATCTAGTTTCCCAGTCTTTCTGTTCAGTTTTCTGGTCTTCATTCCATACTAGAAATGGACAGGATTACCTCTCAGCCTTGCAAAATATGAAAGAAAGCAAAGGTTTTTCCTTGGTCTAACATCGATTTAGGGAGTGGTAGGGAGTTTGTTCTGAAAACTTTTAATTCTGTTCTGGTTTCTAGGCTGAATATAGGCCAATAAAGCACTTAAAAGAACAGTCAGTAGTAGTACTGATGGGAAACCAAAGGGAAGCTATTTATGAGTAAATTAAAATATAGCTAATCTGCCTTCCTTTAGTCAGTCTATGTTACTGAGTTTCTGTGGGTTGATTTATGTCTATTCGTAATGCTCATCAGTAGAGTCATTGTCCTAATAACAAATCAGTTTCTTTTACTTTAGTTGTTAAGTGTTGCAGAATCACCCTTAAGTTGATGGTTTCCACCATTAGTGTGCCTTTCTGCTCTATTAGAGAAGAAAATCAAGGATAATTCCCTTTCACAATTTTGTCCCCTACTTCTCTCTGTACATACCTTTGAAATAGCACTCACTTTCTGATAGCCACTTTCTAAGTGGATTATGTTTTATTCCCACCTAGCTAGATGGAGGTTAGATTTAAAGAATTAGCAGCTGATATCCTAGCTGGGTAGAGAAACTGAAAATTTTACATTTCTGTTTAACTTCCCTGTTCCTTCTCCCCATGTATACCACATCCACCCTTTCTGACCTCTCCTCCCTTTCTTTTCTCTTCCCTCTCTCTGCTTCTCCGTCTGCATTGTCTATCCCCAGACTAGCCACTGGGTTTAAAAGGCATAAAATAACCTGTGTAGAATTAGAAGGAAAGCTCATAATATTGACTTGCAGTTAGGAAAATATTAAATGTTTGATATAGTAATATGTGCTTTAGTAATGCCTTTGAAATAAGACAATACATTTAAAAATAGAAGTAAGTTAAAAATCATTTTGTAAAGATATATATAAATATGGAGGTCTTTTATATAGCTTGAATAAAATCATCAAACCATGAGGGGTCTTTTACTTCCCTCCTTCCATGTGTTGATAAACAGAGAAAGGGAATATTGGAGAGTATTGATGGCTGAGTCACAGTGAGATCTCACTGTGTGGGTAGGACAGGTAGGCTTAAAGTTGACTGATAATTGGCAGTTAAGCCACATAAACTTCTGGACTATAGACAAGAAGGTTTGGATCACATATGTTCTAGCAGTGGGTTTAATGGTAATTTTGAAGTAGTGCTGAATGTGAAAGCTATTTCAAAATGCCTGCAACGATAGTATAAAAAATGACTGATTTTTATTGGAGAAAAAGCCACAGATAGTGGTCTTTTGTCAACATTCATAATTAAAGGAGATAACTTAGAGATGTTGTTGTTGTTCTTATGTGCCATCGAGTCGGACCCAACTCATAATGACCCCTCCTTGGGTTTCCAAGACAGTATCACTATGGAAGTAGATTGCCCCATCTTCCTTCTGAGGAGTGGCTGGTGTGTTTGAACCGCCAGCCTTCTGGTTAGCAGTCAAATGCCTTAGGCACTATGCTACCAGAACCCCTAACTTAGACATAGCATTTAGTATTTTCCCATTCAATTTCACAGACCCTTTCAATCCAAGGGATCTGTGCTCTCAGGTTTATAACCTGTCCTGGGAGCTGTAAGCCGTATCATAGGACTCCAGCCACTTGCATTCTTTTTCCTTCTTTTGACTCATAGATACTTGATAACTAACCTGAAGAGAAAAAGGAAAATAAGTCCCAAGTATATTTACAGATTATTTTATTTCTGACAAACGTATGTCTTTAAGAAGAAGATAATACTTTCGGTAGAGAGCTATTTTTATAGATGTAGAAATGGTGGTGTTGTTGTTGTTGTTATGTGCCGTCGAGTCGGCCCCGACTCATAGCGACCCCTCCTTGGGTTTCCGAGGCAATATCACTAGGGAAGTAGATTGCCCAACCTTCTTTCCGAGGAGTGGCTGGTGGGTTTGAACCGCCAGCCTTCTGGTTAGCAGGCAAGTGCTTTAGCCACTATGCTACTAGCTATTATTTTTTTTTTTTTTACCTCTGATTGCTTAGTAATTTTTGATGAGTTATTTTCTTTTATTTAATGAAGGCAAGAATCTCAGTAATTAACTGAAGTTGCCAAAAAGGTGGCAGAATTCAGATTCTCTCATTACATTTGAGTAAAATTGTCCAGGAAGTATAGAGTACAGGGAATTAGACATAATGCAATCCTTAACACTACTACTTTCCTCATTTCCTTATCATGGATAAAGTGAAGACCTATTTATTTAATATTCATTTATTGAATGTGTTGTGTATTAGGGACTATAGCATGCACTGTTGTAATCACTGTCTTTGAATTTACCATAGAAATGGAAATGAATAATGTTAGAGATTATTGCATATTATAATTATTATGTTCTCTCTCTGTTTTTCTTAGTATCTTTCTTATTTATCAGAGATCTGAAATATCATTGATTGGCATTTTCTGAGTGGTCCTCAAGGATCTGAAGGATAGGGGAGAGGAAAAACTGGAAGAATATTTTTAGAGGAAGCCTGGAAATTTAAGGGCCTCTGTTTTCCTGGTTTGTTTGAGGAATGATTGAATTTTCTTCACTGAGATCTGGCCTATAGTCTTGGCTTTATTATAGAGAAAAATCCAGGTTGTTGGTATAATATGTTTTCAATTTTCCCCACGCCTCCTACCCAATAAAAGTGAGTTTTCCTCTGAATTAAAATTGATCCTTAAGTGCTATATTTTTTTTACTTTTGGCTATCTTGAACATAAATGTTAGAAATAAGGTATGTATTTTGTTTCTTAATGTGACGGATACAGCATACCAAAAAGAAAGGAATCTTCACAGAGCCACTGTGAAACATCACATGCGAAAAATGTTTTGTAAAGAGTGATACAAATGACGTTTATTATTATTGTTTCTTAATAGGCTAATGTCAAGCGATACTAGAAGGTTTAAATGTTTATAGAAATTAAAAAAAAAAAAAAAACCTGAATGCAATGTAGTTGACTCCAACTCATAATAACCCCCTTTAGGTTTCCAAGGTGGTAAATCTTTATGGAAACAGATTGCTTTGTCTTCTTCTGCAGAGTGGCCGGTGGGTTTGAACCATCAACCTTCTGGTTAATAGTCAAATGCCTTAGGCAGGCGCTGCGCCACCAGAGCTCCGTTATAGAAATTTAAATAAATTATTTTAACCCTCAATTATTATTCAGAACTCAAATTTTTGTAAGGAAAACTCTCAAAATGTTATGTTTATATTCTACAAATCTGTATCCTCTACTAATGTTGAAGTTAAAAACCATGTACTCAGATTTTTTGCTGTCTGTGTTGGCCGTTCAGTCCTTAAATATTGGTTTATAATGTGTTTTATACTTTTTAATGAAGGGCTTTGCACCATTTATCTCGCCTGAGAGACCTGGTTGATGATACCAGTGGGAAACAGTCACCGAAAATATGAAGAGGAAAATAAAACTGTCTAATGAATAAATAGTCACTACAAAACCAAGATGTTTTTCTATTACTTAAACTGACAAAGTAATCATAAGCCATGTATTATTCTGTGACTGCTACAAGTATTATGTATGTCTGAAAAAACAAACTTGAGAATGCTCACAGGTTATGTGACCTATCCTCATTTTGTGCCAAAGACAAGAATCTGCACTGAGGACCCACAGAGACCTCAAAGCCTGACTTGGGACTTCAAGCGCACAGATGTCTAATGGTCAAAGGTGAATGATTCAGTTTTTACAAGTTTTCACAGACTTAACTTTCTTCAGCTTCCTCATTATTTCATTATCTGATTCTGGATAATTAAGAAACTCTTCCAGGTTTCTATCCAAAGTCTCTTAGGTTAAATAGACTTTTTGATACATGTAGCATCTACATTTAGGGAGCTTAAAGGGATATCAACATTGTTATGATGTATTTTATCCATATAGAAGTCTGTTAATTTTAACTTTTCATAAATCAAATATTTAAGGTATGCTGTACTTGCAAATGGCATCAACTTAACAGTGAGCAGTGCGATACTAAAAGGAATATTCCTGTATGTTGTCAAATTCAAGAGAACCTCATTTAATTAACTCTTTGATTATGTGTGAGATAATCATGGTAATATTGGACAGTATATACAATATTATTTTGGGATATTTGAGAATGTAATATTCTGATATTAGATTATTTCACAGATTTTAGTTTTGGCATTAGCTCAAACTGGTATAAAACTATGAGATAAGAGAACAGTTGCTTTATGAAATTTTGTCAGTAAGCTTAAAGAAAATGGATAGAGAAAATCCAAAACTAAGTTGCTGTTTTAAAGCTTCTTTGTGAGAGCTGAGCTTTCTTTAAAGTAGTCTGTCCTGGTAAAAGTTAGTCTCTAACTGGAGCTGAACAGAGCTCTGTAATTTTGTAATTTCTGTCAAGTGCGCTTCTGATAAGCAGGGAGCATCTTTATCGGCAAAACTAAGAATTAAACCATGAAGCATAACTAATGCTGCTTATTTAAAAGGCCTGATGAAATGAAACAATTTCTGTGTATGTATATAAATACTGCAAATTAACTGTACCCAAATGACAGCAGTTTTGCTAAGTAAATTTACTGTTAATAGACAAGAATTTCTAAGCACATTGGGTCAAACAGTTTGTTTTATCTAAAATGCCAAGGCACTATTTAATACCTCTGTTATAGAACTGACATGTCAAAGACTGTAGAGTTCACCCTGTCTTTGTTCTCTTGACCAGTCTTTTGGTCATATGGTCTTTGCCCAGTTTGAAAGACATTTGCCATTAGGTTTGTTTTGTTTAGTCTGTGGAGGTCTTTCTGCTGACACTCTATTTCCAGCAAATAGTTTGGATAATCAAATATAGAATTACTTTGATGGCTACAGTATGGCTGGATGTTAAAATACAGGTTTTAAGTGCATAGATCAGGATCATGTTCCAGGTCAACGAAATCAACCATTAGATAAATTCTAAAGGAAACACAGAAGGTAAAGATAACAGGGAATAAACTTCTAATTGTATGTTAATTATGTGTTGATCATATATAATATTTTAAAAGCTTGGCTCCTCACCAAAAGTTGGCGATTTGAACCCAGCAGGTACTCCACGAGAGAAGGCAGGGACAGTCTTCTGTAAAGATTACAGCCTTGGAAACCGTGTGGAGCAGTTCTGTTCTCCTGTCGGTTCACGATGCGTCTCAGTCGATTTGATGTCAGTGAATTCAGTTTTTTTTTTTTTCACTTTTATGCCTGGAAAGTATCTCCAAAGGGATTATGTGCTAATGACTGAATAGACTGAATAGTGGGTGTTCTCATTTTCAAGAACATATCTCCAATATTAAATAAGATTAGTCTGTTCTAAGATTTTGTTATAACTAATGCTTTAAGAAACTTGATTATTCTTACCAAAAAACCAAACTCACTGCCATGGAGTTGATTCCAACTCACAGCGACCCCCGTTGGGTTTCCAAGGCTGTAAATCTTTATGGAAGTAGGTTGCCTCGTCTTCCTCCTGTGGAGCAGCTGGTGGGTTTGAACCGCCAACTTCTGGTTAGCAGCCAAATACCTTACACACTGTGCCACCAGAGCTCCTTATTCTTACCAAAGGAGCGTTGATTTTTCTTTTTGTCTTAAGTCTGGAAAGGTATAGTCCCTTCTCTGAAAAATAAATTAATTTTATCAAAATGATTCACTCTAAATTTCTTTTTCAAGGAAATATATGGATAGGAAGAGAGAAACAACTAAAAAAATAAAACATCTAAATTATAAATGCTTAAGAAATTCTCTAAAGAATTTAATTATATTTGTTACTTCAGAGTTTTGTTTGCTCGTTTTGAGGTTTCTTGGGGGGGAAGGACAACAATGAGATTGCAGAGTTGGGACTATGATAATGAGAACAGATTTTTAAAATTGCGTTGTGAACAAAAGTTATCAACCCTTTGCTCTCTTCTAGGTATATTGATAATTGTGACATAGAAAAAATGAAGAAATCTTAGTAAGATTTTTCTAGTTTTTTTTTTACTGTGAAAAAAAGATGTAACAATAAAATTGAATTACAAAATTCTAAAATTTTGAGATAAAAGGATAAATGTGTCACTGTTATGTGAATATTCAAGACCGAGATGTATTGTCTTTATTATTAGTAAGAACTCTACTTTCAGAGTTTTCTGTGACAATTTATTGCTGCTTTCTAGAGATTCCTGACTAAATTGAGGAAATCTCCTTGTGTTTCTCTTGTTATACTGTTTCTTATAGAAATTTATAAATGAGGGAGTATTTTTTGGTGTTACTTTGTACTGAATAGTTTATGATAATGTTTTATTAATATATATATATAGACACACATATATAGTTATACCAAAATATTGCTTGAAGAAAAATGATGACAAGATTCTATCTTTTTTCTTGTGTTCTAAATATATGAGATCATGCATACAGATTTGAATTTTTGTATTTTTCTTGTTCTATCGTTCCCTCTCTATAGTTCCCTCTATACCTCAAAACACATTTGGTAAAAGTACTGTCGAGGAGTGAACTTGCCCAAATGCAAATTGCATGAAATGAGACAAAAGAAGTAAAACTTTAACAACTTAGAGTACAACTTTAAGACTTTAAGACTTAAGAATTTTTGGATGTTTTGCATTTTATCAGATTCACGATCTGTTTTACAGTTTTAGGAGTCAATCTAGGAAAATTGCCAGTGCCTGCTTTTATATTGTGTTGCCTCTGTTAGTCTAGCTTGATGGAAACTGCATCAGACTAGGTCCAATCTAGAAACAGAAACTACACAGTGATTTTAAAAGGGAAGCTTAATATTTAAAAACAAAAACTTTCAAACTATGATAAAAGAGATATGGCATGGAGAGCTCTGTATGATACAGTAGATCTGAGGAAGAGTACCTAAGGAAGGATAGACTTGGGAGAGCTCTCTCCCCATGGCTGGGGTTCAGACCTTGTTGGAGAAGGTACAAGCGCAGCCTCCTGAATGGCAGAGAAGTTCATTGGTTTGCCCAGACCAGAGCCTGTCTTTATTTGCTGGGCAAGCAGGAAGCTACCCTCTGAAACGCAGGGAAGCTGCAGCTACTAACTGGGTGTGTAGGCATGCAGAGGGAGACACCCGTGGGCCTGAGGTGTTTGTGTTAGGAGGGTGATCACCGGCCCAAAGCAGGGCTGGGAGGTCTTCAAGGAGCTCTCCGTTCTGGGAGTGGGCCTTGGCACTGAGCGTCACTGGATATATCACACCTACATATTCAGGGTGAATTTGGAGCTAGCCAAGGGATAAATCAACACTTGGCATAGAGACTGATCAGATTTCTAGGAAGGTGGTGGGAGAGTACATCACAAGGCAAATACAAAGTGCCTCACTTGTTCATCTCTGCTCTTCCCTGTTCGCAACTCTATCATGTAGCCAGCATCCCTGGGTGGCCACTGTTAAGCTTCCGCCTACTGGAAGATTGATGATTTGAATCCACCCAGAGATGCCTAGGAGGAGAGCCTGCTGATCTGCTTCTGAAAGCTTGCAGCCTTGAAAACCCTACGGCATAAAGTTCTCTTCTGCACACGTGGTGTCTCCATGAGTCAGAATCAACTTGATGGCAACTGTTTGTTTGTTTGTTTTTGGTTTATTGCATGGCCAGTCTAAACTGAGAAGTGTGGGCATATAGGTAAGGTAGAAAAATATCAGATCATTTAGAGAACTAAGACACAATGGAAAACCTTGGGCGAATATTTAAAAAATAATGTGATAACTTTATAAAAGAAAATAGTTCATAAACTAGAAAGCCGAGGGTATGTTAAGTATCCTGGAGTTAAATGAATGGAGTTAAATGAATCAGAGAGAGGAATATAGTACGTTCATTCTGTTACTTTCCTTCTAGATGGCCATGTAGTCTTATGCACATTTCTGAAAGTAGAGAATTCCCTGCAATCAGAACACTTTTTCTTGCTTCAATTTACCATTTCCTTCCACATACTGCTATTAATTCTGCCCTTCAAGACAATCTCATATGCACTTCAGTCCTTCTGATACTGAGACCAACAGAATTAATGTTTCTTCCATCCTTCCCTTCAGACTAAGTGTTTCTAGTTTCTAAAGTATTTCTTTGAGCAAAGATTTGTGTTTGTTTGCCTTCAGTTTCCCTTTTCTGGATGCTCTCTGGCTTTCAGACTTCCTTTAAAAGTATAGTCCCAGATGTCCAAGATGCAGCGTAGAATGGGGGGGCTCTGCATTTGAATCTTTAATAACCTAATGCTTTGTCCAGCCAATGCTTATTTGATTCCTGGCACTGTGCTAGATGTGTGTGTGTGTGTGTGTGCATGTGTGAGAGAGAGGAGAGAAGCGGAGTGCAGGGATAGGAGAGGTGAGGTGATGATAAATAAGAAAGCGTGACTCTACATGAGGGAGAGTGGTAGAGAACACATAAATAGATAAAAACTACGCTACGACAGGTAAGTACTG